AATATTATTTATTGCAATAAATATTAGGAAAATTAACGAAGAATGGCTTCGGATAAGGTACGAATGTTTGTAAATTAGATCATTTTATACTTTACACTTTACTTTTTCAAATTTGTGGTAAAGTATAAAATGATCTAATTTACAAACATGTATCCGTACCTTATCCGAAGCCATTTTTCGTTTATTTTCCTAATATTTATTGCAATAAAATAATATTTTTATAATGAAACGACGGACATATTGTACGCTTTCTCGATTTTGCCACTTGCTGCTTGCTGTTCGTTCGGTTCAACTTCAACGAACTGCGGTAAAATGTATTTGCGCCGGAAGTACGTCATCTAGCTTACATAAAATTCTTAACCAATAGTAACGAATTGCTGCTGCAGCGTGCTGCGCATGAAAAAGTACCTTAAGGCCGTAAGCAAATCGGCCAATCACAGGTTAGCGTATTAAAATGTAAGATCGTAATCTTGATTGTGATTGGTCGATTTGCTTAAGACCTTACGATTGCTACTAAAATTTTTGTACGTGTGATGGCCCTAAACCAGGTTTGAATGCACGCATATGCGAATTGCATGCATTTGACTCACTCACTCTCTCTCTCTCTCTCTCTCTCTCTCTGACCCAATGACTGCGTTCAGTAGACTCAACAGTTTTGCAACCGTTTATGATTCGTCTCACTGATTGGATCATGGATTGGATTATACTTTAAATCTAAAGGAATAGTCCTATCTCAGCGAAGAATCATAAAACAGTTGTAAACTGTAGAGTCTGCTGAGCTCAACCATTGGGCGCATTCAGCAGAAAAGAGCGCTACGAGAGCGCTCGCTGTTATTGGTATATTCTTCCAGATTTAAAATTCTGATTGGATGATCTAGAAGAATACACCAATAACAGCGAGCGCTCTCGTAGCGCTCTTTTCTGCTGAATGAGCCTATTGTAGAATCAACATATAAAGCGGGGAGCACAGACTTTTGCATAACGCATAAAGCATGTGCATAAGGAATTTCATTGGCCCATTTTCTTATGCATGAGTCAATGGACCAATCAAATTCTTTATGTATATGGTTTATGCGTTATGCAAAAGTCTGTGCTCCCCGCTTAACACTGCATAACACGTGCACGTCACACTACGGAGTACTTACACGTAATTGTTCACTAATTATATACTTTATTATCATAGTTATTGCCTCGAGTATGTCGATTCTAAACACACTACATCGAGCAGGAGCATTGATACGGACAAGTTTAACTCATAAAGTGAGTTTTTTTCCAACAATTTGTATAATTATTATATTCTTCAAGGATATTTGATTTTGACCGAACTCTGATTAACTTAGTCGGCGATTAACTTATCGAGTAATATCTACATTATTTTGTCAACATAAAGTAATTTCCTATTGTTTAACAAAATAATTAAATCTGGTATAATGATTGAATTATATAATTAAGAAGTTTGTTTAAAGCAACTTCATTATATAGTTGAAATATCACCGATTAACTAAATCAGTAGTTAATTCGATCGGCAGAATAGCTCACTGCAAGATCTTTAATTACACAATTCGCTATCCCTAATTTAATTATTTCTTTATGTATCAAATAAAATTTAATTATTCTGTCTATATTGATAAATTAGTACAGATATTTGCTCGATGAATTAATCACCACTTAAGTTATTCAAAGTTCGATCAAAGTCGCCTTTATAGATATAAATTCCTTGCAGCTTGATCCAACGAGAACCATCACATTTTCACTTACACGTTCTGAGGAAGCAAATGCAACTGAAGAAACTCCCAAAGTTGCATCTAGACCAGTTATATCAGTAGAGACTAGTATCAAGTATATGAATAGCGATGGTAATAAATTGTTCATAAGCTTTAATACAATCTAATTTATAAGATTTATTTTACAATCATTTTTTATCATGTAATTGGAAATTATTCCAAAATCTAGCTTACAAACAGACTTATGGAAATGATCCAGTATGGAAAATATATAGAAGAAATCATAAAGGACAATTTCCACCTAGGAAAACTCGAAAAACTTGTATAGTATGTATAGAGATTTTTCTATCTCATATTAAAATAGGATAATATAATGCTTTTAATAATGTCATGTAATTAATTAGAGAGGTGGTCACATTTCGACAGGAAGCCCATGTCCCATATGTAGGGACGAATATCTCGTAATTGATCATAAAAACGTCAAGCTGCTTGAACAATTTATCAACGAACATAACGGAAGCGTCTTGAGTTACTCGTAAGCATTTAAGATCAAAGCATAAACCTTTACATAACGCATAATGTATAAAGCATAAGAAAATCAGTTTTTTATTTCATAGTAAGAAAGGAAATGGACTTGATTCGTTCATTTTTTTTTATACATTATATGTTATGTATTATAGAAGGCTTTGTGTTCCTCTCATTCTTATCAACATTTCTCTTTACAGTTCTGTTATATTAGTACTTACATTTCTTCATACAAATCTTATGAATTTAAATATTTTTACAGGAAAACAAATATTTGCCAAAAGAGACATAAACAACTCCTAGTTGCATTAGCCAGGGCCAAGGATTACGGGACTATTACATTCGATCTTCCCATAAGGCAATATGATTATTCAGAGTGGAAATCATCAAACAATTAATCTTTAATTATTTATATCGTCATATTACGACATCTGTATTTCCTTTAAATATGAATGAATCTAAGGAAAATATGGAAAAGATAGAGTCTACATTTGTCATAATAGGCGGCGGTATAGCTGGAGTATCTTGCGCTGAAGGATTGAACTTCCTCGCTCCGGAAGAAAGCATAATTTTAATTACCGCTAGTCCCCTGGTAAAAGCTGTGACAAATATAGTCCCATTAGGCAGAACATTAATGCATTTCGACGTAGAAGAAAAGAGCGCAACAGTCTTGAGCGAAAAATATAAAACGTTACGAGTTATTCATGATACTGCAGTTAAAATTGACACGATCAAAAAGCTGATAGAAATCAGCAGTGGAAAAGTCATAAATTTCAAGATATTGTGTCTTTGTACTGGCGCTAAACCTAAATTAATAGCCGAAAACAATAATTTCGTCATAGGTATCCGTGATACAGAATCCGTATTACAATTTTCTCACAAACTTAGAGATGCGAGGAGAGTCATAATTGTTGGCAATGGAGGAATTGCTACCGAAATAGTGCATGAAGTTAAAGGCGTCGAGATGATCTGGGTAATCAAAGACAAACACATTTCTGCAACCTTTGTCGATCCTGGAGCTGCAGAATTCTTTTTAGACAAGATTTCTTCTAAATCTGATATGTCAGAAAATCTTAATAAAGATTTGCTAACTAAAAGAATGAGATATGTTGTGTCGGATAGTTCCATTCCAGTTAAAAATGGAGCTGCTCTTGGGCCAGATTGGCACAATAGCTTTGATATAAGTGGTACACATTTTACGCCTACAAATGTCCAAGTTGAGTACGAGTGTGAGATATCAAAATTACTCACTTTCGATGAACAAAAACAGTTCGATTCCACGGAAGAGTGGCCAATTTATGCGCAACTAACAAACGGTAAAATTATTGGGTGCGATCTTATTATCTCAGCAACAGGTGTTATTTCAAATTCCAACATATGCGGGTTAGAAGATCTTGAAAGAGGGGAAGATTCAGGATTGTTAGTAGATTGGAAGCTGGAAACTTCAAAAAATAATATATACGCTGCCGGAGACGTGTGTACTGCTGGTTGGCCGAAAGCGAAACATTGGTTTCAAATGAGACTGTGGACGCAGGCTCATCAGATGGGCCGTTATGCTGCAAAATCAATGGTATCGAATTTACGAAACGAAGAATTCTTGCAAGACTTCTGCTTCGAACTTTTCACTCATGTAACCAAATTTTTCTCCTACAAAGTTGTTTTACTCGGCTTATATAACGGACAAACATTGGGAAAAAATTACGAGATACTTTTGCGAATCACAAAGAATCAGGAGTATGTTAAAATTATCTTACAGGATGGTAAAATGCAGGGTGCAGTGCTCATTGGGGAAACGGATTTGGAAGAGATGTGTGAAAATTTGATACTTAATCAGTTAGATTTAAGTATGTATGGTGAAGATTTGTTAAATCCTGATATTGATATTGAAGATTATTTTGATTGATATACCATTAACCGAATTGTGATCCATCTGCTCGCCAGAAATACAACATATATATAATTTCTATTATGATTGACTTATAAATATTTATTGTTACATAATGGCACATAAAATATGATTTTATAAAATATTCGCAGTTCGTTTTAAATATAGTCTTATAAGCACAGAATTTTAATATTTATTTCTGTGAAAAATTAACTATACATTTTAAATATATTGAACCAAATTTCTTAAAATTAAATATAAGTATTAAAACTTTCTTTTTTTCATCAGCAAACATTACAGTATTAAAATATATTATTATAACTCTTAGTTTATATATATAGTATACAATTAGTAATGTAATATTCTAAAGTTACAAACACTATTTTCTTACAAGTCACTCAAAGTAAAATTGTAATTTACAAGTTACTAATTCTACTTTCACCTAACAAATTTTAAAAATAACAGCTTGTGAACATATTTTCCTCATGTCTTGGTAATTTAGTAATTTTAACTAAACTTTTTATATTAGTTCAGTTATATAAAATAAGATCTTATTTGATACAGGCTAAATTAAAAAATTATATAAAGAACAATAATCAAATAAAAAATAAAAATTCATAGATGCTTGTCCAAATAAAATGTAACTTATAAAATATATTAAAATATATAACAATAAATACAAAAAAAGAAAGCCAATAAAAGCCAAACGCTGAATGTGTTGATGCGAAATTATTTATTCTATAACAATACAATTAAAGTATTTAATACGATAAGTGAACGTTTCGACCCACGGATAGGGTCCTCCTCAGTAATACATTAAAAAGTACAAAAATTAAACTTATACATCGGGTCTAAGTACTGAAACGAATATGTAAGCATACTCCTTAGTCTTCTTAACAATAAGAATATTATATACATCATGTAATCAAAGAATAGTGGCAATATATTTCCAATATGATACAATCGATCCATTTTTTCAATTTTGACGCCTTTTTTGAGATTTGCAAGATGTGGTAGCATCAAATCTTGCAATTCGTTGTGACTACTTGCAAAATCCAAAAAAGAGAATGTTAATTGTATTAGCTGAGGAGGACTCAAAACAGAGTCGAAACGTACTAATTGTATTGATGAATAATAAAGGATTTTGAGGGATCCATTTTTAATTGATTGCTTACCAACAACAACGTAGCACTCTCACTCGCCCCCTTTCATAAAATTTCTTGGTTTTAAAAATCAAACTTATACATCGATATCGTCTAAGCAATATTTACAATTAGTAATACGCGTAGAGGTCTCATAAGTTATGCAAATCTTGTGAAAGATGTTCTGTATCAAATGATGTGTACGTTTTATCTCAAAATCATAATTATGCATGTTGTTCATAAAGCTTCCAAATTTAATAGATCTGATGTGTATAAATGATATCTGAGATGCGTTGTGTACGCCGGTCATAGGTCGAAAACGTTCACTTATCCTATTAAATATTTTAATATTATATTGTTATAGAATAAATAATTTCGCATCAACATTCAGCGTTTGGCTTTTATTGGCTTCCTTTTTTGTATTTATTGTTATATATTTTAATATATTTTATAAGTTATATTTTATTCGAAGCATCTATGAATTTTTATTTTTTATTTATTATTCTTTATACAATTTTTTAGTTGGATCTATATCAACAATTTCATAGGTGGTTAGTGTCTGATAGAATCTCCTCCATCTTTGATATGTAAGTCTTTATTTAGAACAACAGTGACATTCCCTTTGTCGGCATTAGTAATGAGAATGTTTGGATGGTCGTTAATAAATTTCTTTGATAAGTATAACCATTCTAAAATATTCTTGTCAATAAAGTTTAGAGAAGGAAAATTGTTATGGAGCCTATTAAGGATGGGAAAGGAATTAGTTCTAACATAATTAATAATATTATTTGGACGACCATTTATATTATTCTCTAAATATTTAATAAATTCAATAATAGTTTTTTCCTTATTGTAACTATTAATAGGAAGACCAAATTTTTCACCTAGCTGTAATAAAAACTGTACCTTAAGGGGAACGTCAATGTCACTCAAGTTCAAAAACCATTTATTCTGTGGTGTGTCATGAAGTGATTCTGTAAAATGGATTAATATGAATTTTTACTGTGTCAGAATTATTAAGTAAACAAACAGAAGTCGTAATTTGATTTTTGTTAGATGTGTCATTAGAAATATTTGAAACTGAGCTAAAATAGGTAATAGGCTTAATTCTCGACTTCAATAATAAAGACCTTTTTTTGTTAAGCCAATCAATTTTTTAAAAAATTCTACGCATTTGTTCAACAAAATAAGAATTATTGATATTATCCAAATATTTAAAAAATTCACACTGTACCTGAGATGGCAGTAATCCACAAATTGTATTTGACACATTAAAAATGTTAATTCTAGTTTTATGAAGGTGGCAATAAGCATCTCTTAACTCTAATCGCATAATAGTCTTCACATAATTAAATTTTTTTTTAAGTCTATTAAAAGAATTGTACAATGAGAGATTATTATGATTTGTCAAATGTTGTAAATGTGGAGGAACAAGTTGAAACTTAAAACAAGAATTGATGAATTTTATGAGGACTCTGATATTGACACTCAATCTAATTAAATTACATAATCTTTTTAAAATGTCACAAGTATGAATGCCAAAAAAATGTCTAATGTAAGAAAAGGTAAAATTAAAGTTATGCATTGTATGAATACTAAAAACTGCATAATATTCTCGCCCGCGTAAATTAAAATATAAATTTGTAATAAGGCTCAATAAATTTAAAACAACTAAGAAACAGGGCTACGAGTCACAAATTAGTTAAAATATGAACTAATGGTAAATAAAAACTGTAATTTATTTAAAATATAAAGTTTAATAAAAATTAAAAACGTACGTTTCGACCTTTGTTAGGTTATTATCAATGTTAAATAAGTCGCATGTTGTTAAAAAAGTAAAAAATTATAAGAATACAAAAAACGCAAAAATTATATAGGAAAATATAAAAAATATATAAAAAATGGATGTGCACTCTCTCGCGCATAATTGAAATTTTATTCATTTCGGCAAAATCCGCAAGAAAACCAAAAAACGATGTAATTCGTCTGATTATAAATGTAATTTGTAAAATGGCAATTATTTTTGTCGAAAAATACATCAGTAATGTAATAAAAGTAAGTCAAATAATAAAATAATAATGTAAAGAGAATCAAAATGTAATATAGTATTAATATATAGTAAAGTCAAATAATAAAATTAAAAATAATGTAAAGAGAGTCAAATATGGAGTGTATTATATGTTTATTTTTACATTATATTAATTTTATTTTATTACCTTAAGATCTGACTCTTTACATTATTTTTAATTTTATTATTTGACTTTACTATATATTAATACTATATTACATTTTGATTCTCTTTACATTATTATTTTATTATTTGATTTACTTTTATTACATTACCGATGTATTTTTCAACAGAATTAATTGCCATT